GATCGATACCGAGATCGGATGCAACACTCGATTCACCGATGAAGATCGAGACCCGGATCGAGCCGAAGACACGATGTCCGGATATGATCGAGAGAACAACTCGATCCAATGGTCGATCTCTGTCCTTTCAACCGTTTTTGGCTGTTAGCGAAGGGGGGACCATTGGATTGTTTGGACATTTTAGGCAAGGCGGCGAGATGCTTTTGGGGGATTTTTATCCTCTACCTGGAGTTTTCTCTCTCGTTTTGGGAAGAACACCATTGTTGAACCAGTATTCTTTTGAAGCTTTTGTATTCGAATCCTTATCGTTTGATCTAGTCTTTCTTTGATGATTATCGTTTCATTCCTTCTGCTTTGCTTGATTTACTTTATGAGTAGTGAGTAGTTTACTTTGGGTTCAGGGTTGAGAGGATTGAAGGGTAGAAAAGGTTCGATCTTGGTTTGTTTTCTAAACGTTTTTAAGGCTATCTCTTCTAAGGTGTTGAAGGCTTAATGCTTGAAGACTCTCACGCCAAGAGCTTCATGATCCGAGAGGTCCCTTACCTTGACAGGATCCAGGGGCCTCGGAAGATCACACCTTAGAGACTAGTTACCCCTTCCCAAAAGCCATGGAAGTTTGGGGGACTAGTTAAGCCATTACTCGAAATCTGTTTTCCTTGCCTTTCAACCTCTTTTTCCACCAAAAGCCATGGGTTTGGAGGAGAGGATGAAAGAGTGATCTATACCGAAAGCCACGGATAGATCTTGTTTTGTTTTCGAGGCTTAGAGATTCTCACTAAGTGAGTCGATCTAAAGTATCAAACCCAAGATCGATCCTTGAAACTCTTTATATGAATCTCAACCCTAAAGCCCTTTCTTTTAGCATATTTACGTCTCATTTCATCTTTTGCTAGCTACCTGACAGCATCCTGGTCTTTAGATTCATTATTCTTACGGTTTTAGACGAGATCGATCGTTTCTGCTCGATCTAGTGGTCGATCTTGTGGTCGATCCACTAGTCGAATTTTAACAATTCGAAACTCTTCCCTTTAATTTGTCTGTTTGTTTCTCATGGTAACTGCTTCCTTTCTAGTATTTTTAAAATAGGTTTCACTCTGTTTAAGTTGCTGCATTTAGTTTTTAGAATATTTCCCATAAATTGTCTTATTTGCTTAGATTTGTCTTAGACCTTGCATTCTCTGTGGATTCTCTATCATCTAGAAGTGGATTGACACTCTCCCGCTTGCTTTACTACAACATTGCGTGCACTAGAGTTTTGATAGCCTCTCTGCTGCATTAGAGCATAAGAAACCCAGTTTATCAGTATGTCAATGAATCAGATACTAGTGAGCAAGTGAACAAGCTGATTGTTCAAGAGGTATTATCTGAGAATTCCGAGAAAGGTGTAAAGGCTGCTTCACACTTGTGGAAGCAACAAGATTCTCGTAGAAGGCTTGGAGTTTCTTTTGATGATTCTGCAGGAAAAAGAAATGTCCCACCCAAAGTCAAAACCCGCCCTGCTGTTGTTCATCACTTCCTTGGAAGATCTCATGCACCTACTGCTTATTCACCACCATGGATGAAGACACATTCTTTTCCGAGGCATTCACTGCCACTTCCTGATCCACCAGATGTCTAAACCTCGACATAGTCAAGCTAATGACTGAAAACAAGCGCTTGGTGGGAGGCAACCCACTGGTAAGTCATCTTATTCGAGTACATATACATATTTTCGTTCTTCGAACATTCATTCTATTAAAAGAAAAAAATCTCGCGTGGTTTAACGAAGTAGTGAAGACCTAGATAGTCACCGAGGTGGTCACCAATGAGGGGTGATGAGTGACACCACATGGTGACGAGCGTCACCAGCTATAGACGCATGTAAACACTTGGTTTTCTCTCTTATTTCTGTCCCACTTCATCTCTTTTGCCAAATTCAGGCTTGATAACACTGGGGACAGTGTTGTTCAAGTCTGGGGGAGGTAGTTACTGACATTTTGTTCTGTTTTAAGAGTCAATTAGTTATATCAGAAACCTGTTTTGTTGAGTTAAAACTAGTTGGGAACTAGGAAATTTTTCTTGATTGTTTGTGTTGATTGTTTCATCTGAGTGACCATTGCTGCATGATTAATACCAATTTCTGACTAATGGAAAATCTTTAGGCTGACCAGTTATCTAGAAACATCCCTAGTTCCAGTAAAGTCCATGTAACTTGAGCTTCAAAAAGACTAAGTTAGTTAGTTTGATGTTCATAGAGCTTGATTCCTCATTCATAGCTGATAAATTGCATGCAATGTTTGAAAAGTGATGGTACTCCTCTCCCTTGTTTGATAAAAAAAAAAATAATAAATGTGATAAATTTCAAAAATTTTGAGATGGTTCTCTTTAGGTTAAGGGTAGGAAAATTTCCAATGATCCCAGTATTTCATTTTAAAGAGATGATCACAGGTGGAAGTAAGGTTAGGATCCCGTGATACCATTATTTACCTACAAATGAATAATATAATGAAACATAAGAAAAGAATATGTATGGAGGAGAGAAAGACTACCAGAGGTTGATTGATTGCAGTGCAAATTTATTTAGGTATAGTATGGGAATGAATCTAGAAGGTTCTTGAATATTTAGACTGCTAATGAGGTTTAGCAAGGATATTTATTGGTCAGTGCTGTGAATTTATGAGTTGGATTTGTGATGCTGTGAATGTCTAAGGAGAAGTACATGGTGGTTCAATTTGGTTTAATTACTGCAGTGTGTGGATTACAAGATGAATAGTCAAAACAATGATCTATGAGAAGGTGAGTTCCTGCATTTTCAAACCTCGACTCGGTTCTTAGTCTTCTGTTTGCTTGAGGGCAAGCAAAAGCTAAGTCTGGGGGAGTTGATATATTATGGCTTTTATGGTTTTTAACCATGATATAAGTCTTATTTATAGAGTCTTTTTGGTCTTTTGGGTCTTTTTAGAGTCCCATTAGAGTCTTTACAGGTTAATGGGTGTTTGGAGCATAATTGGAGATTCTGGAGCACTATGGAGCAAAACAGGAATTCTTCCCGATGAGAGCAACAAGAAGGCGTCATTATCCCATGGCGACGATCGTCATTACTTGCTGGGTGACGCTCGTCACCCATTACTGAATGAAGCATTGCAGACTAATTAAAAGTTAAAGTAAAATTGCAGTTTTGGCCCAGAAGTTTTATTAATTACAAAAGGCCCCAATTTATTTTTAGCCTATAGTTTTGGTTTTTTAGCCAGTTTTTTGTTGATATCATATTTTCTAGAGAGACAAGGAGAGAGATTTGTACCAGAGCTTTTGGGGAGACGATTCTGAGACTCTGTTTCTCCTGTGAGAAGAATTTGATCCCTTATTTATCTCTATACTTATTCTTTTATGCAATCTGTTTTATTCCTGATATTTTCTCAATTCACCATGTCTGAGTATTTTGTTAGTTAGATTTTGGGTTTTTCAAACGTTGATAATGAATTGTTTGAATTGAATTACTGTTGGGATTAATCAGTTAGCTCTTCATATAGATTTGTGTTTATTGCTTATTCTAGCTTCGTGACCTAGAATCTGATATTAGGTTGATTAATAGATGCGAGAGTATTGTTAATTGCCCGAACTAATTTTAGATGAGCAAAATTACTATCTGCAAAGAGATTTGATTTAGGAATTTTGTGAACATATCGAACCTAACCTTATTGCTTTTCTGAATTATTTGAATTTGCAAAGAGATTTAGAATTTTAGGATTCAGACATAGAAAATCTCTACAGCGAGAGTTGATTGATTTTATATTTGTGTTTCCAGATGAAATTATAAAGTTTTGATTAATTTTTAAGAGTTGAGAGAATTGTTAAATTTTTTAAATAGATTTGTTAAATTTGGAAAGAGTTCGTTTATTTAGAAAATATATTAAAATGTTTTATTATAATGACTTTGAGAATCTAAGTCATATAGGTAATATCTTGAAAGTGTTCTAAAATCTTGTTCTATGAGTTAAATTGTTTGTAATCCATATTCTAATAACACAAGATTTTAATAGAATTATAAAATCTTCAAAAGCTAAACTTTTTGAATAACAAAGGATTTTGAATGGAATTTTAAAATATTTATACCAATAACAATGAATTCTAGTAAGATTTTAAGAATCAATAAACCAATAATGATGAAATCTCAAAATTCTCAAAATCTACATAAATTCCTCTCCCAATAACCCATCTAAGTGTAGTGTTGAAATTTTTTTGTCCTTCTTTTTTAACAATGAATAAATTTTTTTTTTTTGTGCGATATTCACAATGAATAATTTGATATTTTTTTCCATTTTTGAACTAAACACCTCTTATCTAGTTATCTTTGCTAATATGAAATACTATTTTTTCTATGTTCTTTTAGTTTTTAATATAAAATAGAAAAATGTATCCCGGCATAGCTGTAACTTCTAGTTAACTTTAAGAAACAAGTGGCGACTTTTTCTTCTGATGTCATGTATGCAACATTCAAACTTTTGTCTTACAGGACCACACCTTAAAACAATCAACTGAAACTATACAATTTTATGTTATGAATGTCTTATTGCAAATGCATGTGTCTTTGCTTCGTTTGTGAAATTAATATTTCCTGATTTTAATTTTTATCACCATCTCTTAGATTCATATTTTCCTGAGACTGCGGGAAGATAACTTCAGTACAAAAGATTACAATAGTCGAAATAGAATTTTGCTCTTCGTGATGGTTTTTGGTTAAGTTAATACTATTTTGTGGATATGAATGAAACTTCTGACTTTTTTGGAAGGTGCCATTTTTGATAAACTAGTTATTAACATTTAATCAATTATTAGTGTCGGATGCAGTGACATCAGAGAGCTACCACTTTCAATAAACTAACAGAAATTTCTGACTTTTAATTTTCTGATTGGTGAATTCTTCTTTCACGCCCCCATTCACCAGCTTTTCACGTTTTGTTTCCTTCATCATCATCCTCTTGGTGCTAAACCTGTTTTTTTTTTCTGAAAGTTTGAGCGAAATGGGTATCACATTTTCCTGTGATCAATTCTTGATTGCTGCATGTCGCTGCTTCTTTAGCGATGGAAACTACATTCGCAAGATGGACACAAATCTTGAGGCTCTGGAGAAAGCTATGGGAAAACTTGAGGGGAGACGAAAAGATCTGTTGAAAAGAGTGGACAAAGAAGAAGACAAAGGTTTGCGACGGCTTTTTGAAGTCCACGAATGGTTTTCAAGGGTAGAAGAACTTGGATTCCAAGTCGAAGATCTGTTTGAGTCCAGGTCAACTGAAACTGAAAAATTGTGCCTGCTTAATTACTTTTCTAAGGATTGCGTAATAAGCTACAAGTATGGTGAAAAAGTATGGAAGAAGATGGAGGAAGCTGAAAGACTTTATTCTGAAGGAGTTTTTGAAGTTTTGGCAGAGGAAGCTCCTATACCCAAGGTGGAGAAGAAACATATTCAAACCACAGTTGGTTTGGATGAAATGGTCAAAAGGGTATGAAACCACCTCATGAAAGATGGACAAAGAACTTTGGGGATTTATGGTATGGGAGGAGTTGGCAAAACCACCCTCTTAGCTCGTATTAACGATGAATTGTTTGAAGAGGACAAGGAACATTGTTATGTGAGTTGGGTTGTGGTCTCTAAAGATTTTCAAAATAAGAACATTCAAGATCAGATTCTGCAAAGACTACATCTTGATAAGGAGTTGGAACAGAAAACAGAAAAAGAGAAAGCATCTTCGATATACAATCTCCTTAGCAGAAAAAAGATTGTGATGTTGTTAGGTGATCTATGGAGTGAGGTATATCTGAACAAGATTGGTGTTCCTCCTGTAACGAAAGAAAATGGATCCAAAATCGTTTTTACCACTCGTTCAAAAGAAGTTTGCAAACACATGAGAGCTGACGAAGTGATGCAAGTGAATTGTTTGTCACAAGATGAAGCGTGGGAATTATTTCAAAAGAAAGTTGAAAAAACCACATTAAATAGCCATCAGGATATTCCTCAACTTGCAAGAGAAGTTGCAGAGAGGTGTTATGGTTTGCCACTTGCCATCTGTGCCATTGAAAAAACTATGGCATGCAAAGAGACTGTACAAGAATGGCATCATGCATTTGACGTTCTGAAAGAGTCGTGCCGCAAGTTTCCTGGTATTGAAGAAAATATTCTTGCCATTCTGAAGTTTAATTATGATGGGTTAAAGGATGAAAAAGTCAAATTGTGCTTCTTTTATTATTCTCTGTTTCCGGAAGATTATGAAGTGGAAAAGGATGAGCTGATAGAATATTGGATATGCGAAAAGTTTATAGATGGAAACAGAGATGAATATGAAGTAAATAACAAAGGTCATGATATAATTGGTTCGTTATTTCGTGCACATTTGTTAATTGATGGTAAAGAGACACAATACGTCAAAATGCATGATGTTATACGCGAGATGGCTCTTTGGATTGTGTGTAACTTTGGAAATGAGAAAGATACATTTTATGTGAAAACTGGCGAGCAGTCACACGAGATTCAAAAGGACATCCATTGGGAACTCGAGAGAAGGATGTCTTTAATGAGTAATCAGCCTACACCGATATCTTGGAGTACCAACCTTTCAACCTTGTTGTTCAAGAAAAAGAACTTGGTAAATGTATGGTGAACTCTTTCTGTTTGTGCCAACACTTGTGGTCTTGGATTTTTCCGAGAACGAGAATCTTTCTATATTGCCTGGAGAAATTTCAAAGTTAGGTTCACTGCTATATCTCAACTTATGCAGGACAGGAATAAAATCGTTGTCAGTAGGTTTGAAGAAGTTGAGGAAACTAATCTACTTGAATTTGGAGTACAACGAACTTCAGAGTATTGATGGGATAGTAGCAAGTTTGCCTGATCTGCAAGTGCTGAAGTTATTTTTATCCGGTATTTGTGTTGATGACACATTACTAAAAGAGCTGCAACTCTTGGAACACTTGAAGATTTCAACACTAGACATACACGACGCCAAGATTTTGGAAACTATACAAGGAGTCGCCTGATTGGCAAAAAGGATTCGAACTTTAAGTCTCTCAAATATATCAGCTCATCATGTAACATTGAACCCGGTAGCTCTGAGTGGTCTTCAATGCCTTAAAATTCAGTCGCCTACAATCGCTGAGATAAAGATATATTGGGAAAGCGAAGAAAGGTGGAAGTGTTCTCCATGCCTCAAGCAACTCTCCCATGTTTCTATAGGCCATTTGGAAGGTCCAAAGCATTTGATATGGTTGTTGTTTGCTCAAAACCTCAAGGCTTTATGTGTGAATCACTCAGCAAGCATAGAAAACATTATAAATGTGAATGAAGCAACAGAGATTACCAGTGTGCATCCAAATATTCTTGTCCCCTTAGGAAACCTGGAAACCCTTGAAGTAAGGGATATGATTAAACTAACGACTATTTGCGTGAATTCACCGGCTCTTCCAAAGCTGAGACACTTAGGTACTTAAGGTGTCTAAAGCTGCTCTGAACTGCCATTGAGTTTCTTGGTAATGCAGATACCAAAAAATATTTTATAAATGATGAAGATAGCCTCATCCAGTATATGGAGTATCTAGTATCTAGGCTGACCTAAAAACTTACTTCAAGTTTGGAGGCTTAAGATGACAAAGTGGTACTCTCTTTCTCTTTCTCTCCCTCTTTTTTTTTCTCTCTCTCTCCTTCCATTATGTGACTATGCTGGCATTTATCAATTTATGTACTGTGTTTCATAAACTTGGAATCTTTCATTTTTGTATGTAAAACTCAAAGACTTGTTTGGTGTGTAATCGTCATAATTGCATGAAATAATCCATCAATTGACGGGCTAATATATATGATACACTTCAATAGATCCAGTAATATATAGATTAATAATTACTGATTTAATAAGAGAAGGTTCTAGTATTTACATGTTAATGATTACTAATTTGTAGGAGAATATGGTTTACAGGTTATAATGGTGATTGAATGATTCCTTTATGATTAGCCAGAACATAAGATTTTCCTCCTTTATTTGTTTTAACATTAGCATTTATACTTCAGTTTTGCACAAAAATGGTTGTAATCTATATATCAGTTACATGTCAAATAACTACTTATTGTTTACTATTTAGTCGGATCACTGATCAGTTTCCTCTGTTTACCTGCAATCAAATCAAATGTTTAGTAGTATAATAATAAGAACGTACCGTGAGTACTCACCTAATTAATAATAATGAGCAAAAAACCAACCACAATAGTGTCCAGATCAAACTTCAAGCAGAAAGAAAACGAAACAAAAGGGGAATGAACTAAAAGGATATTTTTGAAATAGTCTATTCTGCAATTTTAATTTGAAGAGAGAACTCTTCACTAGGAAAATTATAAGAAAAGGTTTATATTTTCTTTGTAAATACCGTTTAACTAATTCATGTCAAAATAATATCAATAATATCATTTATTTACCAATTATCATAAATAAATTGGCGCAAGTTTATATTGTCAGTGCTTAACAAAAGAACACATTTTCAAAATATATTTACAAGTGTTGCCCTATTATCTGTGCGTTTATCAACATCAGGTAAAAAAACAATGGTGCAGTCTTTTGTCATTCTCAAACCTGAGATGTCTTTGTCTTGTATTTTTTTTTCTTATGCTGCACTGGCATGTACAGACCAAGTTTATCTGGTGAAAATAACATTTTGCGACATTAATCCGAGAGAAACTACTACATGTCATGATTGATGTCTTGGCCTAATCGTTACAGGATAAAATATTCAATGGTGAAGTTAGTCTATGCAGCTTATACTCTTCACATGCTGGAAGACTTTATGTTCGCAATCAGTCCGCAAGACACCTGTCTAATGTCTGCACCTTTTTAATTTCAGGATCCACAAAAGACGGTGCATTCTTTTGAGTTAGTCTGCGAAGCCTCTGCTCTCCACTTGCGAGGGGACTTTATGTTTGCAATCAGTCCGCGAGACGTATGACTAACGTCTCCATAGCGTCATTTTTTTATGTTTACCAATTTCAGGTCCCATAAAAGACGGGACAGTCTTCTGTCATCTTGTCCTCCTTGTTTCTTATGCTGAATTAACATGTACAAACTAAGTTTATCTGGTGACAATAACAGTTTGCGAGGATTACGATAAGTAGGTTTTATCTACTTGGTCAATACCCAAGACCTACTAAATCGAATGGAGGATAGTGTTATGGGTTTTTGCCAATCCAATAGGCTAAGAGAGAGATATTGAGAGTATATGATTCATGGAATAAGCTAAGCTGGAATCAAGAGGTTTGAAGATTTTACTAACAACCTACTAAAGCAATAAGATAAACAAAACAAAAGCTAAGAAATGACAACTCAAAAGATAGAATCAAAGCAAGTAATAAAATAATATATTAAAATGAAAGCAAGACTCATAGGATGAGATGGTGATGTATGATGAAGCATGACTAATCAATGATGTAAAAATTAACAACATTTAGGCTAATCCTTAAGCATAGAATTCAAAATAAGATTAGTTCATGATGTTTGGTACTAATCCATTTGCTAATCACATAACTAAAACATAATTTTTTATTAGTGGTAGAATGGCTAACAAGCATTAAATAACATTCTATAAAGCCAAAATACTCCCTAACAACAATGGACTTAGGCTAAGATGAGTAAGTCTCTTATAAAATGATTCAAGTATTTCATCAAATATGGTGTGTGCATGAGAAAACTTAGGCTTGTAAACCAAATAATGAAAATGATTAAAGCAATAAATGCATCAAATAAGAAAGAACCACTATTATTAAGCACAAGACATCAAAAATCAATCTTTTAACATTCTACATCTTACTCATACCAAGAATCTGAAATGACTACTCACTATACATAATGCCAACCACAAATCCTATTAAGGAAGAATGGATGAACATAATTAAACAAGATTAAAGGAAGTGCAAAAAGATTAATAACTTAAAAGGCATTACAAAATGTTTTCTTGGAACAAAAGAAGAAAGAAAACAAGTTAGGATAAGATAATAGTTTTCTGGATCTAAAAATAAGGCAAGAGTTGTCAAATATTTCGGCGAAGAGTAGCTTTTATAGGGAAGCTAAGAAACCCTAGTGAATTGAACCCCACTAGCCTTTTTGTCTTTTTCTCGGACTGATTGCAATGGACACAAACTGTTGTGACTGATCATTGCAAGTTTCTCCAATGGACACAGACCGAAATGCGCATGGTTTTGTTGTTGAGGATACAGCATCGGACAAGTACAACGGTTACAAACTGTTGTAGTCTCTCTTGGAGGTTTCTACATCGGGATGTGACCGTTGTGACTGATCGTTTCAGAGGCAGACATCATCTGTTTGGCACAAGGTTAGATTCTTCACACCGGGTACAAACTGTTGCATCAGTCTGTTGTACACAAGCCTCTTCTGCATCGAGCAGTTCAAACCGTTATGGCTGTCCGTTGTGATGATAGAAATCATCTGCCTCACTCTCCTTGAATCTTCTCTAACCTCTTCAGTATCTTAGATCATCCTCTAATATCCACCAAATATTCTCCAGTCTAAAAATACATAATAACATCTCCAAACATGCATAAATATGCAATATCTAACCTAATGCATACTAAACCTAGAATGGATGCAGATGGGACTAAAAGTAAAGGAAAGATGCATGAATGGAGCGAAAAACTATCATGAATGCATGCTAAGAAGGTGTAAAATATAAAGATATCAACTCTCCTACATTTGCCTTTTTTATTGTCCTCAAGCAAATAAAGACAAACAAGGGAGAGAGGTTTGAAAATGGGTATTCCATTCCAAAAATGCCAATACGAGAGATCAAATCAATGTTCATGTTTATAGTTTTGAGATGCAAATTGAATTCAATTTACTCTAAAAGTCTTAGCCACACTCATCATAATATGCAATGAATTCAATTTCAACCTATGCACATAATCAAATCATCATTTCCCTTTAACATTTATTAATGATCAGAAACTGTGAATCATCCTCATGCTTATCATAAAAACTCATTTGATCCAGGGTATGGTTTGAGCTAAAGATGAACTCAATATGAAGGGCTTCATGTGTTTCAAAGGATCACTCAAGAAAAATGTCAACTTATGGCAAAATGCGAAGGGTAGAAACCAATGTAAGCATACTGGGGCGATCCTCAGCTACCCAATGCCCAATTGACTTCTACTCATCCTGCAGTTTTCTCTTAAGCTACCCTTTCTAAAGGCTTTTTCTGCCTTAAAAACTTCACTGTGCTTTCATCATTCTTGTTAAACTTGGGAAGTTCTTCTTCTAACCCATCCTAAGAACCCTAAGAGAACTACTCATAACACATGGTTAATCTCCTAGATTCTAGATAGAAGATAAGAGAATCCATGATCAAAAGCAATAACAAGATGATCAAAACCTAGAAATGCAAACTCTTATAAAAAGCCCAAATTGTTGCTTACGAACACTAAAAATATGGAAAAGCGTAAGAACAAGAGAGAGAGATTATTTAGATCAGAAAAAATAAAATGAATCATAAAGATAAGGTTTGCTTTAAATAATCAAAGGATTATGCCTTGGTCAATGGTCAAATCTCGGATGTTGACCAAAGTCAAAATCAAAAACAAACCAAACGAAGGAGATCACTCCCAGGTGTAGTAGCCGGGTTAAGTGGCCATGACTTCTTGAAACTTCTGTCTGACTCACTCCAGGGTAAGTGGCCGGTGCAGACTAAAATCGACATAACTCACGAATCGCTGATGGGAGTGACTTGAAACTAATGACAAACGAAATCTAACTCAAGTGGCTATAATTTTCCTGAAGAACGCTGAGGCTGAATCGAATTGGAAAGCCTTCATCCGGCCAGATCTTTCAGGCATTGGCTGGTGTAGCGGGTATGTGTATCGGCCAGCATGTTTTCCTTTGCTTTCTTAAGTGTTCATTCTTGCTCCAATTCAAGTCCCAAACGTTCTTGAACCTCCAAGGCCTCCAAAGTACCTAAAACTCATTCCAAGTGCACCAAAACATGCAATGCATACCGAAAGAACAACTAATTATAATATGAATGCAAAAAGGGACCTAAAATGTGAGTTTATGCATGAAAGAGACTAAAAAAACATATGATTATGTATGCCTAAATACTGTAAATATGCAAGCTATCACGCATCAGCCTTCCGGGGCATCTTTCCTCTCGGAATTGAGACTACGGTCCCATAGACCTTTGGGTCTTTTTGTCAGCTCCTTCCGGGGGCCGCACAACTCTTTGGTGTGCTCTTCCAGCAACGCATCAGCCTTCTGGGGCAATTTTCCTCAAGGAATTGGTACTCCGATCCCGCAGACCTCTGGGTCTCTTTGCCAGCTCCTTCTGGAGACCATGCAACTCTTTGGTGTGCTCCTTCCGAGGATGCCTCAGCCTTTCGGGACATTTTCCTCTGAGAATTGGAACTCCAGTCCTGCAAACCTTTGGGTTTTCCTCGACAGCTCCTCCCATGGACCACGCGACCTTCCATTGTGCTCCTTCCGGGGACAGACTTGCCTTTCGGAGCACCATCAGGGAATTGTGGCCGCTCCTTCTGTAGACTTTCTCTTTTCAAACAAACCCCTCCCTAATATGATTCTAAAACTATGAGACTTTCCGCGTAAGTACAACGCAAAGACTGTTATGGCAGTGAGGGAGTCGGGGTAATGCCTTCATGTTAGAAACCTGCGCACGGGGGACCATCTTTTCACCCCCTCAAGGCGCCATACGCGGTTCTTAGGTAGATGTTTAAAAACTGCGTTGTTGCCTTATGTCGATCTTCATGGTCACATAGGGATATAATTTTCACATAGTCCCAATGGGGAAGGAACACAGCTCCTTGTCTAGTGCCACACAAAGCAAGGATTAGACTTCCTATGAGGAGATGCTAATCTGTGGGAGACCAACAGTTCTTCTGGGAACCTAACATCTTCCTATTCCGGGCAAGCATGTACTCTTTCGAGATGCATGCCCCAGCTGGGATATATAGAATCCAATCTAACAGTTCTTCCGAGAACCTGACCATTCCTCCGAGAATTTAGCCATTTCTCTGGAAACTCATCTTCGTTACGGCTAGATCCGTACTCTTCCGGGATGTGCATCAAGGTCGGAGTGAGCCAATTCAATAGTTTCTCCGAAAACCCTGCTTCGTTTAGGCTAGAACCGTACTCCTCCTAGATGCGCGATAAGGTTAGGCTGAGCCTGCTCAACTATTTCTCTGGAAACCCAGCTTTCGACTAGATCTGTACTCTTCCGGGATGTGCAACAATGTTGGGGTGAGCCTATTCAACTGTTTCTCTAGAAACCCCATTTTCGCCTCGACTAGAGCCGTACTCCTCCCGGATGCGCAGCAAGGTCAAAACGTACCACTCTAACACGGCTTCGACTAGCCAAACCCTCGAATAGCAGACGAATTTTGATTATCTTGCAAGAACGATGAAAGGATTGACTCCCTAAATCATTTTCAGTCAGTCAAGAAGTCGAGGGCAATTGTTGGACCCACTTTTATCACTACCAAACTCAGGACGACATGTGGCTACTACGCCCTGCTCAAGCGCTGACTTCTCTGTCTAGACCTGCCAACGGCTCCCTAGCGAACTGTTTTCGGCAGATGACGCGCTTACCAAGCCAAGCGTGATGTACCGACTTTCCTGCCCTGCCGCGCGCCGCATGGATGGAACAGATCAAGGCTTAAAGCCAAAAGAAAAAGGATCAGCCGAATCCGGATCCAAGAACCCAAAACCTCTGAAGAGAGAGAAGACAACGCCAAAAGAGAAGAAAAGTGAAGTTCTCCTATCAAGCCTCGCCAGAGCTCACCCCAAGCCCTACCAACAGCGAGACTGAAGGGGGTATGCTCGCCGTCCCCCGTAATGAACGCTAAGTCTTCCCTTCCCCTCAGATGTATACGTTAACACCCATGTAGAGAGAGTTCCTACCCCGCTCTCATTATAGTCTACTTAGCCTACTTTCACCCTGACCAAACATCAGATAGTATCACGATCCACGGACGGGATACCCAAACCACCAACACCTTACTAAACTTACCCTCGAGTTTCTATTCCTACTAGGGTGTTTATTGACTTGGGCGTCAGAGAATCTTCGGAAGGGAAAACCCATTCTGGTCTCCCCCCCTCCGAAAGCTCGATTTACTTACTTGCCTTTATATGCAGAATCCTGTCAGACTTTCGTCTTGGAACCACATACCGTTTATCTTCCAGAGAACAAAATTTGGAAATCCAACTCTATGACCCAGAACGATCATACATCACTATAAATATTATGTAATTACTGCCAAACAATTATTATGATGAATATAAATAGGTCTTTAATTGTCATACGCACAATTGTTATAGTAAAACTCTATAAATTATTAAAGTTGAAATTTTAAAATTTTATTAATTATAAAATATATTAAATTAATTAATAAATTAATAATTTAATTAATAAAGATATTTTCAATTTAAATATTTAGTGTTTATCAAATTAAAAAAAAAATAAATTTTAACAATCTAAAATTAATTTTAAAATGTTATGTTAATAATTTTTTAAGATAAATCAAACAGACAATAATAAAATCATATTTTGTTATATTATAATTAATAATTTATTATAATTATTAAGATTGTATTTTTATATAGAAATTTGGAAAAAGTTATATTATTATTTTATTAAATTTATTACTTTTTATATTGGTTTAATTTAAAACTAATAAAATTTATTAATTTATAATGATTATTAATTAATATAAATTTATAAATTTGGGCTTGAAAAATAACTTGGCCCAATGGAAGTAAACCGGTAATATGGTTTTAATGAAAACCAGAGTCATGATATGGTTTTAATAAAACCGGAAACAATCGCCGTAAAACCCTAATTGTATATAACTTAAAGACTTTCCTTATTTCTTTCATTTCTTCATCGCCGTCTTCAACAACTCGAGCTTTCCTCCTCCTGCGAGATCCATCAACTTCTGCAGTAAGCTCCTCCTTTCCATTTCTTCTTCTTCTTCTTCTTCTTCGTGTTTCTTCTCGATTTTTTAAATCTATTGAACGTTTTTCCTTACTCACTCTACTGTTTTTCTCAGAAAATGAAGGTTGTCGCTGCTTTCTTACTCGCCGTTTTGAGCGGAAAAACTTCACCTACCTCTGGCGATATCAAAACTATCCTCGGATCAGGTTCGTTCTTACTTTTTCTTTTACAGTCAAATGTTGAACTCAAATCGATTTGACTGTAATTGTGTTAAGATTCGTTGCAAGAGTGAAGGGAGAATTCGATGTTGAGATAGGCTTTAATGTGTATATACATGATTTTAAAGGATATGTATCGTCTGTGAGAACTTATTCAACCTGAAATGATTCGTTTTAATGTCTATATACATAATTTAAAGGAAAGTTTGTGTCTTTGAGAACTGAAATAATTCATTTTAACGTGTATATACATCATTTGAAGGATAATTAGTTTCTGTAAGAACTTACTCAAGTTGAAAATGATTTCAATACTTCACTAATGTATATTTTGGGAATTGGTTGTTAGCATGAAGAAAAAAATTTGATTTGTATTCTTTCGTGATAGGCCTTAGAAATATTTTCTGACAATGTGAAATTCTACTAAACTTCTAGTAATGACTATATATATATATATATCTGATAAACAATGTTATCCAGTAGATACATTAGTGATTGTAAAAATGTGACTGTATAGTGAGAATCTGTGAGTTTTTATCAATGTAGAAATTAATGGATTGTGGCTGTTGTTATTGTTGTTTGTGTAGTTGGTGCTGAATCAGAAGATGCTCAGATTGAGCTTTTGCTAAAGGAAGTGAAAGGGAAAGATGTGGCTGAGCTTATTGCTGTCGGAAGGGAGAAGTTAGCTTCAGTACCTTCAGGTGGTGGTGGTGTTGCGGTGGCTTCCGCTCCATCTGCCGGTGGAGGAGGTGCTGCTCCTGCGGCTGAAGCCAAGAAAGAAGAGAAGAAAGAAGAGAAGGAAGAATCCGATGATGTAAGTTCCTACTTTCATTTTATCAAAAATCTTAAATCTGTAACATTGCTTAAAACGATTTGCTCACTTGTTTTTTTTTTTTTTTTTTTACTTGTGTTATGATTTGCAGGATATGGGTTTCAGTCTGTTCGAGTAAGGCTTGCCGGTTTTGTTGTTATCTTCCTCGTATTGTAACCTTTTGAAAAATCTATATGTTGTTGTTTAGTTTGTATTCGATCATCTTTTTTAGATGTTGCTGGAAAATTTTATGAGAATTTTACTGAAAAAAAACATCATCTGCTTTTGAATTTCAAGTTCTTCCTTTTGCTACGTCACAATGGCTTTAACATCTACATACTTACACATCAACGATCCTCACTAATATCTTAACAACAAAATAATCACCAATAATTAAAGATAATGGAAAGTGGTGTTAAATATTTCAATTCAGTTCATATTTTATCTAATCTACTGAAACGCAATTAGGGTTTGCGTTAATCTAATCTGAGTCATCTTGCTTTTGTTGCGTCCCAATTAGTTTTACTACTTGAACAATCGTCACTAAATCTCAAGATTTCAATTCAACAGCTTTAATGCATCTTTTGCGTTCTCTACTCCTGAGAATTTCAGTTATTCTGATCAAAAGAGAGGATTAGAGTCTATGGAGTTGAGAAAAAGATTTCGAAACTAAACAAAAACCGAAAAAGTAACCCGTTTCAAGTTTTATAAACCAAAACCAAAAGAAAAGAGAGAGTAGCAAGCAACTTTGATGTTTCGATTCCAAAGTTTTCTCATATAGAGAGGAATACGAGTAAAAAAGCTCACTCTCGATTTTATTCACTCATTTAGTTCCATCAATCTTTCACTCTTGAGCCTCTGGCTGCTTCTTTCCACCTGATTTCATGTACCAACCAATCGCACCAAAAACAGTCACCACACCCGCCACAACCGCATAGTTTCTGTGCTTGTCTTCCGACACTTTCGGGCCCGACTCAGCCGCTGCTGCACCACTAGCCTTGGCTTCACTTGCTGACCCTGCTGCTGCTTGTTCTCCCGGACCCTAGTGGTTTCATTACAAGTTAGACTGTGAATCATCTAAATGAAGCAGTTTCTAGTTTCAGCTACTTAAGTTTAAAGAAATCATTACCTGTCTGGCTATCTTCTCGAGCTTCTCTTGCTCCATTTTCTGCAGTAACGATGTAGGTAGTTAAGAGATTAGTTTCCACCAAGCTTCATATATATTGTAGAAAACACAAGGTTATAACTTATAAGTTATATAACCAAGCTAAAGAGAGAGCATGTGACTCCTAAACAGAAAGAATGAGAAAGTAGCTAACGTGTTTATAATTTGGCTTGGATGTTACAAGGTTTAGATAACAAATATTTCAGTGTTTCACTTTCTACAATTAGACATGGGAGACTTCCCTTATAAGTAAAACCAAATATTGTCATTAGTTCACAAGAGAGGATCGATAATTAGTTTTCGTCATCATCATAGAAAAGAAGTAGAACGACTTTCAGCTTAGTGGATTCTTAGTATAATAACAGAGACAGATAGAATCAAGAAAGGATCGATAAAAAGTTTTCATCATCATCATAAAAGAAAAGTAGGTAGACTTTTAGCTTTGCGAATCCTTTAGTGTAACAGTTTCACAACAGAGACAGAGACGGATAGACTCAAGAAGGAATCGATACATAAGTTTTCATCATCATCACAAAAGGGAAAGTAGATAGACTTCTAGCTTAAAGGATTCTTAGTATAATAGTTTCGCAGCAGAGACAGAGACAGAATCAGGAGAGGATCCATAAACAGTTTTCATCATCATCATGAAAAGAAAAGTAGATATGACTTCTAGCTTTGAGGATTCTTAGTACAATACTTTCACAACAGAGACACAGACAGATAGAATCAAGAAGGTGTCGACACATAAGTTTTCGTCGTCATAAAAGGAAAGTAGATAGAGAAATTTACCTTGATGAAAACATTCTCAGCAGCTTTTTCCTCCTCGCTAAGAACTTTTCCACTAGAGAACCTGCGAGCCACAACTCTGATAGCGTTTCTTGTTGCCATGGTAATGAAGAAAGTATCCTGTTGATACAAAAACAAACATGGAAATTATAACATCTATGAGTGGAAACATCTCACACAGAAATACTAGAGGTGCTTGTCTCTCACAAGTCAATCCTTTTCGTCATTATCATTCATACCAAAAGCAACTACATACACGTTTGAATCACTTAACAAAAACATCTACAACTGTATCAAGTATCAGCAACAACTCTATACCTTCTGAAGCAGAAGAGTCAAAAAAAGTTTTCTTTCAAAGAAAACACACAGAAAAGAGTCTGATACTTGTAGATCCTCATGGAGGCTGTAAATGCAAGTGTTCATCACCAAAAAACAAACAACGAAAGAAACACAACTTCTCAGGTACCAAATCCATCAAACCTAGGGTTTGAAAAAGTATAGATGAAGCATAATGAGCTCAAAACTAAATACATTAGACAAGCGAAAGAAACAAGAAGCATAAACTGAAAGGATCATCCACCGAACGGCTAATCACACACCGGAAAATCCGAGAACCGAAGATACAAACAAGCAGCTAGATACAAATCAAAGAACAGATATAGCAACTAAAATCAGAGAATCGAAACCTAATCTTGATCTAAACCAGAGAAGCGAAAACCTATCTCTAAAGCCATACGACTCTCGAAATGTTGGTATCGCGAAGGATATATCAAAAGTAAGCAGATAAGCAAAACCTAATCATGATACAAATACAGAGAAACGGAAAAAAAATCTCTATAACCATACGCCACTAAATGCTGGTATCGCGACAGAAAAATCCAGGGTACTAGATCGACAGAGATGAAAATGTCAAACGAGAACGAAGGATTCGAAAACGAGAAATAAGGAAGCTAAATCGAGGAAGATGATCGGAAGGGAAGAGAACCTCGTCGATGGAAGATCGTTAGATTCGTCGATGGCTGCAGATGAAAACCGCTTACAGAAGAAAATGGTAGAGTGACAGAGACGAAGAGGTGGAAGGAAAGGGAAGGGGAGATATGTATGGACTGAAATGGGCTGAGATATAACAATGGAGCCCAAAAGTATAACAATTTATTGTATAGGCTGAGATATAACGGTGGGGCCCAAAAATCTATAAACAATTTTACCAAATTAAAATGAAAATAAATTAATTGTTTTTATGTGAATTAATGTAACAGTTATCATTGATTTTAATTTTTTTATATAAATAGAATTGCATATTTAAGAATAGTAAATGTAATTTGTTTTTGTCAAACAGGTACCGAAAAAGTACATATATGATATTAGATATCTGAATTAACTATTTTAAAATTAAAAATTAAAAATTTCTATATAATTTTCCAAGAAAAATTTGACTTTTTCGAATTTCTAAAATGTATTACTCAAAGTAGACTTTTATCCAAATTATTGGAAATTTATAAATAGAATTGGTTTTGTTACCCGATTTTCTCTATTTTTACCAGATTATATTTGTAACTTATTTTCTCCCTTCCTTATTACCAATTCTCATCTCATATACGTAAATTTTTGTTTTGAATCCCAAAATATCCAAAGTTTGTATATCGTTTTTTTTGGTTCATTTATTTTTTTATGGTTTTTTTATTTTCTGACTATAATTTATAATTGCCTATTAATGTTTGCTATATTTTATATTATTTTTAAAGATTATAATTGAATTTAAGTATTAAATTATGTTTTTTTAAGTTAATGAAAAATAATTAATAATGTGAATATTGAGGTGGCAGAACAAAAATAAAATAAAATGTTATTATATATATATATATATGAGATAGATAATGGTTTTAATTATATAAAAAACATTTAAAACTGATAATAAATATAATATAAAAATATTTTTATGTATAATATGTATCGATATACACGTTTAGATTTTTTTTATATATATAGTAGAAGAGTTTCTTAGGAGAATGGATACTTTTGAATTTTTACTAAAAAAATCGGTACAAAGATATTTTAATTAGAGATTTGAGCAGAGAGAGAAAAATTGGACAATTTGCCATTGTGTCTTAGAGAGAGAAATAGAGGAAGAAGATGTGTTTTAGGGAGAGACAAAGAGAGAAAATGTGCACTACTTTGTGTGGGGTCGTGAGAGTATACTCTATTACTTAAATAAAGTATCCAAAAATGTGTGCTTTTGAGTGGGTCCAATATATATAAAAAAAAAAAGAATGAGGGAGAGAATATTATATTTATTTTCTCTTACTTACTTTTTTCAGATTTTGTTTCTCCTTCAAATCTATAATTTATATATTTTATTTGAAAATATAAATTATATGATGATATATGAATTAGATTTTTGTTTTTTTTGCTGCACATGTTGAATTTAGAATTTTTTTTAAACAGATATTTGTAATATAATTTGTCTCTCAAGACGTATAACAAAAATAATACAATATATGTACTCTAAAATACAATATAAAGTGTGTAACGCTATTATATGATATATAAGTTTAAAATATGATATATACATTAAAAACCATTATAATTGAGATAAACATAAAGTGCACAATTCTTAAAAAAATTGTACTTAGTATCCTATACACCTCTCTTGTACACAATCATGTACACCTCACTTATATAACATTGTGTACACCTCTCTTGGGTACGATCGTGCACATCGATCTTATACTCCATCATATACATCTCTCTTGTACTCCATCGTATACACTTTTCTTGTACTCCATCGTGTACAACTCTCCTGTACACCATCATGTACACCTCTCCTGTACACCATTATATACATTTCTCTTGTGCACCAACATCTACACCTCTATTGTACACTATCATGTACATCACTTTTTTACTCCATCGTGCTCTCTTCTTTTGTACACCACCATACACCTCTCTCGTACACAATCGTCTACACATCTCCCGTACACCTTCGTGTACACCTCATTTGTATACCATTATATACATTTCTTTTGTGCACCATCGCATACACAATAAACCTTAAATCCTGAACCCTAAACTTTAAACTATAAACCCAAAATCCTGAACTTTGAATCATGAATCCTAAACCTTAAATCCTAAACCCAAACCCCTGAATCTTGAATCCTGAACCCTGAATCCTAAACTCTGAACATTGAACCATGAACCCTAAACCCTGAATAATGAACCCTGAATCTTGAACCCCGAACCTGAACTCCGAACTCTGAACTTGAACCCCGCATCCTAAACCCTAAACTTTTAATCTTAAATCTTTAACCCTAAACCCTAAGCTACAAACCCTAAATCTTAAATTTTAAATCTTAAACCCTAAACCATAAATCATAAACCCTGAACCCTAAACTCTAAAACATACTCAAACCCTAAACCCCCTCCCTTGGTTCTTCCTAAAATGATTCTCTGGCTTTGCGGCTTTATTTTAGATCATATTTTTCGCATTCCATTTTGCATTCTTAATATTCTTATTTTTTTTTTGTTCTTGTTTCTTCATCTTCCTATTTTTTATATTTTTATTTGCACATTACCAGAATTGACTTCAGAATATAATAAAACGAATAGTTGGTTTTTTTTTTTTTGTAGTATAAATAAGAAGAATTGTTTTTTTAGCTAAATTAGATTTAAGTATATTTATAAGTTTTTGTTCATCAAAAGTTGAATAGAATTATTATTGATAAAACTAATAAAAATATTTATTATTTCATGGGGATGAAAGTGATGAAATGTTGTTAGATTATAGATATTATTAATGTTTTTTCTGCTTTGCATTACAATAAGGAAATTTTAATAGATATTATCATACAAATTTTACTAATATATTATTTAAAAGTCATTCTAAATATTTAGTATAAATTTAATAGTTGATATTGATAATATATATTAAAATTTAAAAGCTAATAAAAATATTTATTATTTAAGGGTAAAAGTGATGAAGTCTGGTTAGATTATAGATATTATTTATGTTTTATTTGTTTGGTATTATAAAAAAGTTAGTATATATTATTATTTAAGTGTTTTTATAAATCTTTATTTTAAATTTAGCTGTTAATATTGTGAGAGAGATAAATTATTTCAAATAGCAGTATTGTAATTAAAGTAGTTGTTGAAGGGGTAAAGTGTAATAAGACAAATAGAGAGAAAGAGAAGTACTCATTTTTCCAATCAAAACATCTTTGTACTCACTTTCACAATTAGAAACTCAAAAAGTACCAAACCATCAATTTTTTCATAACTTTATCACTATTGTTTACTATAAGCAATAACAAAAAACATTAGTTTCATTTCTTTTTTATCTATCTCTTTATAAAAAAATGAATATATTTTGTGGTAAAATTTTCACATATAATTTTAAACAACCAATATATAACAACAATGAAACAGGAATGATGAAAATAACTTTTTTGTGTGGGGAGAATCGAATTTTTTTGTTTATTAAATAGCATTTAACTATTTTTGATAATAAAAATACTTGTACATATAATATGTATTATACATACATATTAAAGAAAACTTTATCTGCTATAATGGAATAATATTATCACCATTATTTATTATAAGATATAATAAAGATTTATTGTTTTGGAACAAAATTGATTATATCTGTTACTTATACGAATTGAAACTATTTGATGGTAAAGATTTTCACATATGCTTTTGAACAACTAATATATAACAAAAATGAAATTGAAGATGATGAAAAAAAATTTATTGAAGTATTATTGTTTATCTTTCTATTAATACTATGTTTACTAAATAACATTCAATTGTTCTGTTATAGTTTAAGCTGACTTATATGGTATACTATACTAAGTTACAAGTGATGAATCAACATAATATTTTAGGAACATGGCATACATAAATTTTTCAAAAAATATATAAAGACAAACAGATAAATGATGGTGTGAACAATTTTATGTTGTTTGTAGCTTTTACAGATGCGAAGATACCTTACATCCAGGTATAGTATAATTTTATATCAAACGAATGTTGGTATATCCAAACTTGTGTATTTTAATAGTTTTTGATATTGAAAGATTGATCAACTTTTATTTGTTGATTTTATTCGAAAATAGAACTATGTATATTTTAATTGTTTACTATGTAATATTTGAGTAGGTTACAAATATTTCTATGTAAGATATTATTTTTGTTGACATCATCACATAAAGATTCTTATAAGTTCTAAATTTATGTTATTAAAGTAGTTATATAGTGTTACAATCTAAAACATTTATAACCAACAATGTATCAAATCAAATAGGCTTATGTGATTTATTTATCATAAAGACAAGTTGTTAAAAATAATAAAAATTTAAATAGAAAACTAAATATTTTCAAACACTTTTAGAAAATATAGAATACATGTTCTTATTTTATATTGGTTGAATATTTTCAAGATATTTTGAAAAGAATAGTTGACAAGAAATAAAA